GCCCCCTCCCCCGTCCACAGCCCCTCCCCCCCAATCCACCGTCCTGGACCCACAGACCCCCACCGGTGTGACCTCAAAGCAGTTGGTGGCCAATTCTGCAAGGTTAACCCCAGGGCACTGCCCCCCTGCCGGTCATGTCCCCCCTGCCCCTGCCCACTGACCTCCCAGCTGGTCCCCCACAGACATATGCACCCCTCATCCAGCTACCCCAGGAGCCCGAAAGCACACCTCTGATCAGAAGCCTTCACTGGCTCCTTCTGCCCAAGAAGGGAACAGGACTTCTGGGCCGTCCACTGTAGACTGTAGTCTACCCTGGAATGGCTGACCTTCTTGCTTGACAGAGGGGATCCCAAGCCAACCCCCCTCCCGACCGCACCTGCAGTCTGGGCCTGTGCCCTGCTCAGAACTTGGCCTCCACCCAATTTCCCTCCTTAGGCTGGACCCCGGGGGGGTGGGATGCTTCTGTCTGCATATCCAGCTCGCCCTTCAGAGGCCACCTCGGAGGCCAGCAGTCCTCATGCCCCTCGGGGCACATTTTATCTCACCCTGATATTCTGTCCACACCTCCTCCCAGACAGCGTTTTTATTAAACACCTTCCCCCTAGACTGCACGTCTCTTGAGGGCGGAGACCCTGTTTTTATTTGTGCAGTATCCCTGAGGTAGCACAGTTTAACACCCCAGTAATATTATCCCCACTAATATTCCGAAGGCTTATTTTCATCAGACTCACCTCCTAGTTCTAACACGGGGAGCTCCTAACACATCCTTATTCTGGGGGCACAGACCCCCACTCCCCGGCTGGTAGGAAATTCATCACAATGACAAAGGTGGTCAGTGTTGATTTGGTGAGTCAAGACGAAGGGCTTTTGCTTTCTTAAAGGAGAAAAGCTAATTAAGGGGGAGAAACAGAAACTGTGAGGCACATGTTTTTCTATGCCATATGGCAGTTTTCTTTGCAGAAGAATTTGAAGCGTTAGGTGTGTGTCTTACTGAGCAGAATTTCAACTAGAAAAGATCGAGACCATGTTGCAAATCAAGGCACGTGGGCCATCAGAGCCGCAGGGTCTTGAGAAGTCTAGGCCCAGCCTCTGGTTCAGAGGCCCAGTGTCTGGGCCAGTCAGATGGGGAGCTTTCTTCGTTGGACTCCGGAGAGGGAAAGTCCACACTTTCACGATCCGGCGCATTTTTCTTCAAATCGCTGTGGGGAGGGAGTGTCTCCCCAGACCTAAGTCCCTTTTCACGCGACTTTGCCATGGTCATTCGGTGACGAAGGCTTCCGCCCAGGGTTGAGGACCAGCACTGTCTGCTCTATGGCAGATGGCCAGGTTCGCCATCAGAGTTTGACCTTCGGAGCAGCTCGCTGGCTAAATGAGGGCCGAGTCAGGGGACACTGGCTAGGAATCGTTAGGTCTCAGATTTAGGATGAGGGGTCCTACAGGCGGAGGAAGTGCTCAGGGTCGCGCACCCCTCCAGCTGGGTGCTAGGACTTGAATCCAGCTGCAGACTTAGTCGTCATTTTGATCTTTTCCAAAAACTCAGAATGGAGTATCCTGCACACGGCCCAGCCCCTCGGAGGCATCCGGGACCACCTGCGGGTGCCGCTAAAACGCAATCTGGTCAGCAGGCAGGCGGGGACCTGACACTCTGGCTCTCCACAAGCCTCCAGGAGACCCTCAGAGCTGAGTGGCAAGGCCCCGAGACCCGCCATCTGTCCACACTCACTGCTCAGGCTGCCTGTTCTCCTGGGATGAAGGTTGGGTAGGTGCTGCCCGGTCACTTCTGGGAAGGGGCCACGTTAATACGCTCACCCCAACTCTTCTCGACCCTGGCGGGTGAAGCACCAGATGGTTGCCAACGGGGATCAGCCGAGGGTCCCGAGGCCGGGGCTGGACACGACACGTGGGTTCCCTCACTGCGCAGCTGAGGAAACAGGTGCGAGGGCCTTCCCGGTTCCAGGGCAGGCGCTTCTGCCGCCGACCGGCAGGGGGCGGCCGAGGGCGGGTCGGGCCGCGGCCGCGGGGTGAGCGCAGGGCCCGGGGTGAGGGCTCGCCAGGGCCGCCGCTGGCATCATCCACCCCCCTCCCCGATGCTCTGCTGGCTCTGACCTCTGCATCTGTTTTGCCCCGCACACCGTTTTGTTTGGGGTGGGGGGGGGGGGGAGGATGGGATCAAAATGAGGACTAAGTCTGCAGCTGAATTCGAGTCCTTGTTCCCAGTTGAATGGATGACCAGCCTCTCTGAGCACCAGTGGGGCCGTCTACACACACACAAGGGGGGACACTCCGGTGCCTGATCCAGAGTAATCGGTTCCTCACACGCCACCCTCTGATGGTTCTTGTTGTTTAACGACACAGACATCGTTAGTCCAAGAGCACCTCTCCAGAGATGCACTCCCTTTAGGAGCCACCAAAGGGGAACACTGAGAGGGACAGGGGATTTCCCAGCATGGTGCGGCCTCAGGAGTTTCCCTTTTCAGCACTCCTGGAAGTTAGGGAAAATCTTGCCGGATTGCCCTTAATATCTTCCCGTGGTGGTCCCCCCCGCCCCCGCCCCCGACCACACCAGCATCCAGAGCAACTGATATTCTGAAGAAGCCAGTGTGTCAAAAACCCAACAGAATGGTTTCTCTTCTGTTTATTATAAATTCTTTCCCACCGTTTTAAAACATCTGACTGGAAAAAAAATAATTTCACTTGGGTGATGATTAAACACTAACAACACGCACCACACGCTTAAAATCCTCCAGAAAAGGGAGCTCTCCACGGACTGAATATCTCTACCTGATTTCAGCTTCAGGCGGCACCAATACTCTCAGAAAATTAACCTCGAGGCTCTGACAGCCTCCCCGACCGCACCTCGCCAAGCCTGCGAGCTGATGGCCCGGAGAGAGGGGCAACAGCCAGGTGCCAGAGCCCCGGGCCCCCCCCCCCCCCACCAAGAGCCCGCCTTTGCCTCTCCGGAAAGTTATGACAACCTGGATTGTGATGTAAATGGCAGCAGTGGGCGGCAGCGGAGGCACAGTGAAGAAAATCCTTATTAAACTATGGACACGATGGAAATGAGAAGAGAGATTACAAGCACCAGAGAACCATCCCGGGGAGGGCTGTACTCTGGGCTGAGCTAAGGAAAGCAAAAAGAGAAACCCCCCTTGGCTGATGAAACCAAGCCCACTGGGCAGCAGCCTGGCAGAGCTGCCCTGGGTGGGAGGTGAGGGAGGGAGTCAGGCTGGGAGAGGGGAGTCCTGCGTCTCCCAGGGGTGGAGGAGGAAGAGTTTACTCGTGGCACCAGGGACTTGGGAGCGGGGGCGGCCGGGGCTGCAAGCACATGTTCCTGCCTCGTGCAGGCAACCGGGGACCGGGCCCCAGGGAGGTTCCTGAGGGTGGAAACCGCCCTGGGCCAGCAGCCCCACACCCCTGCTCCATCCTGGGTGGGGCGCCGGGGCCAGAGGCCAACTTGCTGGGGGCGGGAACGTCCAAGACCACGGCCAAAGCCCCGGGCTGGGAGAAGGGAATCCTGGGGCCCCCGGGGGGGCATCCTTGGTGAGCTGAATTCCCCTTGTCCCGTTTCTGAATGTGCACATGTGAGTGTGACCTGGCGGCCAGGTACGTGGCCAGACCGTACCCGGAAATAGCTTGCTTCGGTTTCCCAAACAGGAATCAGATCTCCTATGAAACAGACACAATCTCTTCACGGGGCCACTCTTCCCCGACGGCCAAATTCCTCAGGAAGTACAAGGGGCGCCCGCTGCCTGGGCTCAGTTGGCCCCGTGGCCTCCTTCCGGGGCCCCGTCCTGAGCTCCCCTCCTCGCCTGTTCTAATCTGAATCTCCCCGTTTTCTCTTGTAGCACCGACAGCTTTGCTCCTATGTCTTCCTGAAACGCCTCCTCCCTCTGGCCTTTTCCTTCCCCCACCCCTGGCTTGCAGGTCACGTTTCACGAGTTGGACTGTCCCCACCACTCGTGCCCCCAGGATCTCTCTCCAGCCCTGAGAGAGGGGGAAGCACGGACGTGGGCGTCTCCTGGGGCCAGGGCCCCCCTCTCCTGACACCTGCCTGGCAGGTGGTGAGCCGGCCTTCCGGGAGACTCTCTTCCTGGGACTGAGCACCGAGTCCCAGCTCCTCTTTCCCAGAGGTCTCTAGAGTTGTCCCTCCTTTTACATTCCCACCGCCCTGGTCAGTCTTCTGTCTGGCACATGCTTCCTGGGCACGGTCTCCCAGGGAAGGTGTTAGCCGCTGGGGCTTGCTTCATCAAGACAAACCCAATCTCTGCCTTCAGGGAGCTAACGTCCCGAGCCTGAAGGCAGCCATGGAGGGCAGGGGCGTGTTGTCGTTACAGGACCATACGTGGTGCCTCGGGGCAGAGGAGGACGCACCCCCAGCCCGAGGGCACCTCTAACTAGGTGGCACCTAAGTCACAGGAGCGGTGAACCGTGGGGGGGGGGGGGGGCAGTCCCGGCAGAGGCACCCAGGCACCATGTTCAAGGGAGAGGAGGGAGCCCGGGCCTGGAGCCCCCGCAGGTGGAGTAACTCAGAAGGTCCAAGTGTGAGCCTGTGGGCGCTGGTTGGGGGCGAGGATGGAGAGGGTATTCTGCAGCCAAGAAGGACGCGCCTGCCATCCCGGGGGCAGAGGGGGCTGCCGAGGGCCTTGAGGACTGCCACCATCTAACACTAGCCCCTCAAGGCCGCCGGGCTTTGGCTCCACCGATGTATCCAGTCTCAGGTTCCCAGTAGTAACGCTTAGCCCACACCTTCCGCACCAGGTGGGTGAGGTGCTTCCTGTGCCCTGTATGTGGCTGAACTGCAACCAAGGATCATGTACCAAATGCCTGCTATGTGCCAGACACTAGCGCTGGCTCAGAGGGTCCCCAGCGAGTCGGACAAAGACCCCTCCCCCCAGTGGGCACTGCAGGGGACAAGAGCTCCGACGGAGCAGGGAGCAAGAAGGGTGCAAGGAGCAACGGAGGGCAGATGACGGGCTCTCCAACTCTGCCCTTGAGGAACCCATCAGAAGAGGGGCCATTTGAGATGCTTCCTAAAAGATGTAGAGGAGTCCCCAACAGGGCATTCTGGGCAGGAGAGCGAGTGTAAGGAGAGTGAGGCATGCAAAATAGGCTCAGTAAGAACCTTCTGGAAGGTCAGTGTGTCGGGGAGGTCAGTGTGTCAGGGAGCATGAAGAGGGTGGCCAGAGCTGGAGAGGGAGGTGGGGGTTGTGGGGAAATAGGTTTTACTCACATAAATGGGTCAGAAAAAAGCTTCGGGCAGAACGCCAGCCCTGCGGGGCGAAAGCGCCTGACGTTAGCTGGCGGGATATTGAACTGGGACTGTGAGAAGCGTTATTTCACCTGCAGGAAATTACTTTCCTTCTGGAGCCAATATACTATTGTACTTTGATCACAAAATCCACTCACCCCCCCCCAGACCCTTTGCTTCTTACACACACAAGTTAATGATTACTGTCTGATTGTTCTCTCCACATTCATGTGTGTAAGATCTTCTTTTTTTCACACTCACCCTGTGTGTAAGATCTTGAAAGCCCAATAAATGCGGAGAGGAAGCCCCTGTTCGGGGCTCTTGTCTCCTCCCAGACATTAGCCTCTCGTATTCAACTCTGCATCTGCTCTCTTGCTGGACAAGCGAGAACTCCAGGGTCAAAGTCCGCGACAGGGTGTCTGGATCACAGCTGGTGGGCGGTGAGCGCCGTTAGGGATTCTAAGTCTTAGTATTACCCTCGGACCTCCTTCCGCCTGCCTGTCCCAGTCTTCAGCTGCCGTTTCCCAGATGCTGGTTTTGTCTTTCCACCTGAACC